GTATGATTTATTGGCAACGTGTCGGCAGGAGAGTGATTTTACAAATTTTTATCAGGACAGCGTTAAATCGAATTCGGCAGATATGAAAAACCATTCGTCATTCGATAACTTCTCCCGATGCAGAAGAGTATGTCGTTTTTAGTTTCGGAATATTGGACTGTCGAGGTGAAGTGGACAAAACACTTGGTGAAACCTTATTCGTTTCTTTCTGGAATCAACTGATCGCACATGAGATTATTCGTGATATTGAAAATCGCCGACAGAGGTGACTATGGGGTTTTCAGCTTAGTGAATTGAGTCCTCTTCCAGTTCCTGATCTGCGAAATTCAATAAACACTAGTATATCGAACCATTCTTCTATCATCCAGAGTTAGACGACAAAATCATTAAATAAAAACATAGGCTTTCACGGCCGGAGTCACGATTAAAAAGAACAAAATCCGGGCTGGTAGGCCGTGGTCGAATGGAACCTAAAGTACCAAACGTTTCGCCTGCTGCTGCAGCAGAAATCATCAGTATTATCTGGTTTACTGTGAAGACGAAAGTTAGATACGATACGTTTGATACTTATCTATCACGAATGCTGTGACGTATCACAGTCAAAGATCATATCAGTTTTGTGGAAGTAACGAACTGAAACAACATGTTTATCTAAATTTTATCGTGATTATTCTCGGAAACGGCCAATCTACCTACATTATATTAAAAAACTGCTTTCTTTATGTTTCGACGTGACTTCTCAACAATATCAGGATTACTATTTCGAAAATTAAGTTTCATTTATCTCTTAATCATATAATTAAAGATGAAATGAAAACACCAACTGAATTATTTGAACTACCCAAATTCCTGCTGATGAGGTGTTGAAAACGTAAAAGTTGAAAATAGAAGTTCTGGCGTAGGAAACACTCAAAACAAATATTGCTTCCTTACACTTGAACTGCAACACTCCACTCGATGTGTATTTCACCAAGTTGGCGTCATCAGGAGATGACCTACTGTTCAGTTCATCTATTGAAATTAAATATTCGATATTTGTTATTCCTTTGTATCTGTCGCTTTTTGTGTTTGTATTGTGTATTGCCGATACGAAATATTAGCATTTTCATGCGCCTAATGTTCTAATATTCTTTTCACCGATCTTTTCGTGACTCCAGTGTACAGAGTTCCGCATGATATGTGGATTAAACACTTTGATTAGATAAGAGATGCCGTTCCAGATAATACGTTGTCTACTGGAAAACCATTTTTATGTTTAATCTTCCGAGTATTCGACCTAATTCACCGATTAACTTTGTAATAAATGAAAGAAGTGCCATTCTCAAACCGTCATTTTATGTTATCTCTAATCGGAAATGCTTTAATTGCCATAAATACAAAGTACCAAACAGTCGTAGATACACAAATGAACACGAAACTGAAAACTGACTTAAAAATTAAACAAACAAACAAACAAAAATATTCTCGCGTCACGAAAGTATTGAAATATAATAATAACGTGTTAGGAATCACACGTTAAAAGGTAAGACCTTGTTAGTCCTTAGCTCGCACAAGTTTCGACTTCTAAGGGTTGTCGTTCGTAGGGTTGCGATAGCTGGTTAACGAAAGAAACATATTTTAAAACCTATATTTGAAACAACATAACATATAATAAAAAAACATAAATTTGATTATTGAGCCCTGGAAAACTAACTTTGATTCACCACTTGCGAAGTAATCAGTAGTATTATGAGCTTTCGTCAGCAAGAGTTCGTTCGCTTTCCCACGAAAAAGCATTTCATTGGATACTTTTTCATGGAGACAGGAAGATGGATGTTTTTTTCATTATTAAATTTTGAATTTCTGAAACGAGACATTGAAGGAATAGGATAGTATGATTTCTATTTTTAACGAGGTAAACTGTATCCATCTAAAGAATGAATCCCTAGCTGATGTGTATCCTGTTTCTTGTATCCATTCACTTCGGAAGCTTTCCCTAGATATTTTTCTTTTTTCGTTTCCCTGTTCGAGACGGTTAAATGTTACGAGGTAGGTATACTCATACGTTGTATTGTTCCACTGTGCTCATACAATTGTAATAACGTTTCCTTGGTTTATAATATGGAAAGTTTCTAGGAAGGCCTCCAGGGGAATGCGACACATAGAGCTGTAGTTTGGGTTGTCTCATGGGTATTCTCATATACTAAATTGCACTCAATATATCTGTTTCATTCATTTCCCAACTCTCATTGTACTACTATTAGTTAAATTCAATTGTTTTTATTAGGTATTCAAGTGTCTGTACATGGATACTCACATAGAAAGTATTCACTTATCATCACTTTTTTATGCAAAAATTTGTTTTCAAAATGGTAAATTCCTGAACCCTTTACAGTATATTCGCTGTCTGAGTGAATATTTGAAATGGTTATGGTTCATTTCAGTTCTGTGAAATATATTAGTCAAACTATATATCTAAAAAGGAAGATATGATCCTCATAACGTGATTCACTATACACCATATCGTTGGGACATCTGTCACGTATACATGAGTGGATAATTGATTAACATAATAGATGAAAATGAACTGTAATTTCTGTTTGAAGTTAGGTTTGAATCTAGTAGTTTATTGTTTATTACCGTTTGACTACACTGTCGAGTATACAATTACTTTAGGTGTATTCTGAAATATTTTTTCTCCATTTTGTGAAGATAGCAACCAGGATACAAGGGGTGCACGATAGTTTTAATTTTGCGATAACTCCCAAGATGTTTATTTGAATTGTAATGTGTAATTATAATGTGCATGAAATACTCAAGGTAACTAAAGTATAGTATCTAAATAGCTTTCCAATTACCACCTTATATTTGACCATTTTTTTTATATTGAAATGAGTACGGTAAGCTATCCTTAAAAGATGAGACATATCACGAATTTTTTTATAGACATACAAGAGCAAAACAACATTTAGTGAATTGTTTCGTTATATCTCAAAAAGAATTACACAGTGTTTTCGATGGAAGTTCCCCGGGTAGCACCACCGCCCTGAATTATCAGGATAACATCGTACATTCCAACCAATTCACACAAAACATGTAGTTTCGTCAACCTGTCTTACTCCTATCTGCCATACTATTATAGTCACTTAAACTTTGCGATGGTAGTTTTCAGATATCACTTAAGGTCTTACAGTAATTCACATCCGACCATGTGTTTGAAATATGTAAACCAGCTATCGCACCCCTCAGACGCGCACGACAACCCTCAGAAGTAGAAACTTGTGCGAGCTAGGGACTAAGTCTTACCTTTTAACGTGTGATTCCTAACACGGGTTGGACGATAGCAAATGAAAATCGAGCGTTCATCCTGGGGTTTGAAACCATAGACTCACACATCGGCCGATTGACTAAGTGAACATGGCACCAACGTTAAACAGCCCGGTTACCTACCACCTACATAGATACAATATAAACGGTAATTCTAAAACATTAAAGTAGTCATACAAACTTTTGAAATAGATAGAATGTTCCATTTGAAAATTTCTTACCGGATCGGAAGACTCTTATCTCCACAAACAATTTATCTTTATCAAAACTTTTTTCATACACTTGAAATTCAAAAAGCTATGATTTGTCTAGGAGATTCGTTGAATATAAGATCCATTACAATAATTGTTTAATTTTCACTACAAAATAGCTTCTTAAATTCCACTGGTAATTCAAATTATTCTGCAATGCATTTTATACAACAATAATAACAGAAATTAATTGAAAATGATTAATTGTAGGTAACAGGTAAATTAAAAAAAAAATAAGTAGTTAATAATGATCATTACTCTGGATTTTATGAATACATGTTCAATGAAGGTTAATGGTTTATCTACTTGGCCGCTTGATTGGAAATTTTCAATACGAAAATTTCCTACTAAATACGTCAACAGTAAAAAAGATAAAAGTAGTTCATAAGTTAACCGAAAATATGGTCATATAGTTATAGATGAACATTTCAATCTAGCAGACCACTATTATAATATTCATGCAGTCAATGTTCACTGTGGTTCTGGCGTTGAATTTGATCATTATTACGCCTTGGTCAAAGACGAAACGGACTGGTTTAAGTTTGACGATAGCCGTATCACGAAGTGTTCTGGCGATGTATTGAATCTATTGGAGCCTCTGGAGACACCCTTCATTTTGTTTTATGAGAGAGAGGACATTGGCAGATCAAGATCTTCAGACGATGTGGTGCTGCAGGTTTTTCCGGGTTTTCCTGCAGTTGAAAAAGCAAATGCGCCACAGGAATCAATGAAAATATTTTTCAAAATTTTACTTATAAATGTTTCTCATGACAAGGGATTAAGAGAAAGTCATAACCATGTATAAGTATTGCTGCTGAAAATCAACTCCGAATTGTCTTTTTTCTATGCATAATCTTATAAGTTTCAGTGTAAACCGAACATCCTTCCTTGTTCAGTGTTTTAGATTTAGATTTAATTTGTTTAGGTTCATTCGTTATAAGACTTTCAGCATTGAAGCTCACCAGAATATCGCTTGCGCAGTGTTACATTTTCTAATTTTTCAATTCTGAATAGAAGTGGGTATCTTTAAAATCCTTAGTTATTTTTTGATATACAAAATTATCAAATACGACAAATCTGATAAACAGCAAATTTTCATTGGTGGAAAATGCATTGCATTCTCGCATTAATGGGATGAACGAGAAGTTTGCCCTTGATACACCTGTATAAAGTTCTCCATTACAATATTTATTTTGTCAAACTGTTGAATGATAAAAGCCTCAAAGAGATCAATGAAAAACTCAGATTTCCTTCAGAAAAAGTTACTTGTTCATTATTTATCTTGTTCCTTTGATTTTATATATGATTTGATGATGATTTTATATATAATTTATCCTCACCTAGGCTCTTGTATCGTTTATTTTTTCACTTATTTCTCCGGTGCATTTAATGTATGTTTGCAAATATTTTTTTAAATTTTTGGTAACTTATTCCTTTTTTTAGGAATGTATACAATGCGTATGCTGGACGGCAACAATGCGCTAAGTAATTTGAGCACGAACGGAGGTGCAGCAGCCATCGCAGCACCTGCTGGTGCCACCTCGATGTCCAGAAATGATATGGAACGCATGGATACCTCCAGTGACAGCGCTGTCAGTTCCATGGGTTCCGAACGGGTACCCTCCTTGTCCGATGGGGAATGGGGAGACGGCGGGTCAGATTCTGGACATACTTCGGCGGAACATTACGTCACCGATTATCCCAAGTAAGATTCACTTTTCTGTTGTTCATTTGAATGTGTGCCTTCCTGCCTTAATTATGCAAACTGACCGGCAAAATCGAACACGTTCCTTTTGATCAAAAACTTTTCGTCTTCATTTGCGGTAGACATAATCAGAGGTATTATCATTTGTTTATTTTGTTGTATCATTTGCCTCGCAGCATATACTACCTAGTATGTTGGTAGTAGGTGTATCACCTTTCATAATGTTCACTATAGTTGTAAATAAACTTGCAAAATAACTTTGACATGATACTTTTTTAGTATTTGAAGTTATATAGAAGCGTCTATTGGCCAGGCCAATTAACTTTACCATTGAGAACTAGATGTGCATATTATAAACCTTTTACTTCAGCACGTTAACAGAAGTATTTGGCATGTCTGAAATTTAATTAGATAAATGGGATTGATGCCTCCTCATGTCCATAAAAATACTGTTTTTGTGGTCAAAAGTGAATTACTACAAGAAGAAACCATAGCAAGTCGTTTGTATGAAAAGCACACTGAACCCCAGTCGGTCATTTTCTACAAAGTACTTCGGTTGTCATAAACTTCATTTACGACCTTTAGAGTAGTATTCTATGATGGTCATATCGGACCCTAGTTAAATATTACCTATTTTTTTCTGAAAATTCTGTTTTCTGTGATTTTTGAATTTTCTCAACTGGGAAACGTAGTCCTAATATTCACATTAGTGATATCCAATTATAACTAGTTTATGAAAATCATGAAATTGAGTTGAAACTATAATCTGGTCAATGTTTGGTCGTAGTATTTCATAATTGGTTTCGAATTGATTAAAAAAACTTATTGTATAATTGCTTTACATTTAGTTGTAGTAATCACATGTAAAAAATCACCTGGTTCAAGATTCTTCAAGTGCGAAAACATATTCGTACTATCCTACCCCATGGAGTGGCTTGTTAATATTATTTTCTTTTTAGCAAAATGCGGCCATATGACTACAGCTATTCCAGTCGGCATCTGAACAACGGCTTAGGTGCTTCAGACAATGCGCGCATTCCACCTGTCGCTCAGAAAAAACACCAAATGTATGGCAAGCGATATTTCCAAGACCACAGCACCACCAATGCTACCCAGCCCCCGCCCACACCTCTCAAGTACGAGTACCGAGAACCGAGTGCCCCTTCCTATATTCCCAACCCGCCTGAGGGGGCTGTGGGTCCCAAAATTCCCGAAATGAAGTACTCATGCTCTATGGAGTTCGGCCTTCAGAATCACCTGACAAGAAACCCTGTCGACCATATTCAGCACAACCATACCTATCACCTCCCAGCAGAGAATTCGGGCGTTATGCAAAGGCCGATTTCCAGGGATAAGGCGAAGGCAGCTCGCAAATCTGAAGATGAACACTTAACCAGAGACGAGAAAAGGGCCAGAGCCCTGAACGTTCCTATATCTGTTGATGACATTATCAACTTGCCCATGGATGAATTCAATGAACGTCTTTCCAAGTATGATCTCAGTGAGAGTCAGTTGAGCCTGATCAGGGATATTAGAAGGCGAGGAAAAAACAAGGTAGCCGCTCAGAATTGCCGAAAACGCAAGCTGGATCAAATCCTGAGTTTGGCCGATGAAGTGAAGGAAATGAAGGATAGGAAGATGAGGCTGATCAATGATCATGAGTATTCCACAAATGAATGCAAACGTATGAGGGATAAGTACCAGCAACTTTATCGGCATGTTTTCCAGGTGAGAATTATTTACTAAATGTTAATGTTTACAAGTTGAAAACCAACTCCTTTCCATGAATGTTGTCAATTTCATTTTAAATGTGATTATTCCATTGTTTATGGCTCATACTCACAAGTTGATCAACGAGTGAAGGGTCATATACCACTGATACTGCAATTAAATTTAATCTGAAAATATTTTGACTCGGAAGAGTATTCACTATTACATTCCAAGTGAGTTTATCATTAACTTCCATTTAAAATGTATACCTGCCTCTTACAAAATTCAAATAGATCCTTTACAGAAGAAGAATATTTCTCAAAATGTTAAAAAAAAATCTGTGAGTAAAATCTTTAACTAAAAAAAATGTTTGATGATATGTCCAATCAAATAGGAGGAGGCAGGTGTAAGTTGGTCTGCTTCCATAAATATTGGCAATTGGCACATAAGTATTGGAGCATTTAAGAATAACACTCGTATACATTCATCTGTGAGAACCAAACTGTCTCATTTATCAGGAAATGAATGATTTCGATATTTTATTTATTCAACTGCAAAAACTCAAGACGCTATTGAACACAACACACCTTGTGTACTGTGCTAAAGAACAATATTAACCACTCCACACCGAAACAAAAGAGAGAAATCGTTCAGGAGTCATCGGACATTGAAAAAAACATTTTGAAACAAATGAATATTCAATGACTTGTTACTCTTCAACTGACAGACATATGAATTAGGGGATTCGATTTTCAGTTGTCATCAGGGTGGAATTCTCATTGAATTTAACCGATGAAAACTGAGTATAACTGATCCGCCATAACTTATTTACTAGCAACTAGGAATTGTGGGATTGAATTTATGTTGGGACTGGAGTTTAGTGAAATTTTGAATTGAAAGGGGTATATTTTTAGGAAATATTAATCAATTTAAATAAGATTTCAATGGCTGAGATTGAATCAAATAAGCTTATGAATGCCTCTATGAACCGTCATCGTGACATGTTATGAATGAACTGAGTGCTTCATTTAATGATGTTATCTAGATTGGTGCTGAAAAGTGTCTCATTCCGAAACATCGATGTTCCATGTTAGTGAAATCTTATCTCTTTTATATACTGTATTTGTAGCATTCCTGTAAATGATATCTGATTCAATTCCATAAGGAATGTTTGAAGTACAAATTCAATTGAAAAAAGAGTTTTTTATATAATCCAATATTCATATGAAAGTAGTTGTTTAGATAGGGCTTTCTTCCAGTTTGTATCAAAGTAACTTCAATGCATGATTTACACATCTTTGTAGAGAGATCATTTCGAAATTAATTGTTTTTTTTCTTCCATTGGAAGTTTCACACATTTGTGTATGAAGATAGAGAAGTAGGAAGCCAATCATTGGAAATAAATATCTTTGAATCAATTTCAACCTATTGCAGTAAAATCTCTGTTATTCTGGAAAAGTATTGAATAGTTTTGGACCTGTTTATTCAGTGGATGTTTTTGGAATGAAGGACGAATTATTTTATGAAAATTCTACTTAGAAAAAAATAGTTCAGATCAGTTCAAAGCAGTTTCTTAAGCCATATATTATATATTAAATATGCATACAATCTGTTGATATTTACTTTTTAGTATATTCTTTAGTCGAGCATCTATTTACCGAACTCCAATTGAATCATTAAGTTTCATTAGTAAC